GAGAGAAGCTGGCTGCGGCAATCGTGAGAACGACGAAAAAGCAAAACTTGAAGTGAGGAAACCAGAGCTGCCTGAAGTAAAAGATCCCTCAACTCGACTAGCTGCAGACCTCGTTCTAACTAGATTGCTCTTTGACCTTGTAGAAGTTAGCACAGAGTTCCTAGAGAAAGAAGACTGGTACTTGACAGCACAGTTCTTGAAGCAGCTGAACCATTTCTAGGAAAGCTCTCAGCAACTATAAATGACTCAGAAAGGGGTCGTTCACATATCACGTACTCAGCCGAGGGGGGCCGGGGGTGGTTTCCAAATGCTTACGGTTGATTGCGGGAGGGGGGTTTGGTCGTTGATTACGTAATCAAAATTGATTACAGTTGATTACGGAGGGGGGGGGGGGTAAAAATTGCTAAAATATTGATTACGTAATATGTGAACGACCCCAAAGAGCTATATCTGTAATGCAAAGAAAAAAGCTGTTTCCAAGATCTTGGAACCAAAAACAATTTTCTTTTCAGTCAATTAGGAAAAATTAAATCATCTTATTAAGTAATTTATTTTGTTAACAATCGAATTTTAATGTAACTTTAGTTAATAAGTATTTATAATTTTATTAATCTATGATATTGTTGATTTTCTGCGTCAAACTCAACTTTGTAATTTTACTGTGCATTTAAGGGTTGATTCACGATGTCAATCATGACCATTCGCAGCTCGGCGAGGCCCAGTGGTGCATCCCGCCGATCTGCGAGAAGAATTATTTGATGCGCAAATGTTTGTCTACTATCAAAGTTGAATATTTTACCAATCACCCAGGTCATAAGATATCGCTTCAAAAATTCTTGTGAGGGTAGCTGATGATCAATATCCAACTTTTTGCAACAGGATTTCTCTCAATTTTGAGTTTTAAGGTATGAAATTTGGCCTCAAAGGACTTAGTAAAATTCACCGTAAAAAAGTGCCAAAAATGGCAGATTTGAGGCTTAAAATACCTATAAATGATACAGTAACTGAAACATAGTTCTTAGAGCAAAAGTAAGTGTATCTACCCCCACTAATGCGCACTTTATTTGTTACTCCATTTTGAAAGTTCTCTTGATGAACGGTTGAGACGCGACTGCTCCTTTCAGCCTCCGAGGCGCAGACATACAGCTGCAGAAAGTGAAGGCAAGGTCGTGGAGGGCTGACGGACAACTAAGAACATGTCTATTTTACCTAGTAAACTAATAGTAATATAATTAACATGCAGGCTTGGGAATTCCAATCAGCTCCGACAACTAAGAACCAATCATTACATATCCCCGATAACTAAGAACCTCTGGATCGAGATACTTAAAGCATTCAGATTTCCACTGATTTCACAGCTGTGCTGTATATTAGGACGCAATGAAACTACCGGTCCACGATGTATGGGGACTTGCCACCCCATGGCATCATTAAAATATATCGACTCTGTTATACATCGTTTCCTGTTTATATAAAACTCCGTTAAAAAATGAACTGGGATCTGGCAATACTACACCTTATGTATTTCTGCATTAATTAAGATTAAGACAAAGATTTTTTAAGATAATGATAGTTCAAACTCAACAATATAATAATTACATACAAAATAAATTACTCAATCTCATGGCCAAAGTATTTGGCAATCTCAAACTTTTTCTCCCTCTTTGCTTTCTCTCTCATTACTGCATAATGCATAGGCTGCGTTGGTACATAAGTCATAATAAGGTTAGCTTGGCCTCGATATTCACTGTCATCTAATACTTTACTGGGCCGCGCTCAGCCTGTCATTCCGCCTAATCTCTATTCTTATGAACATGATAGCCTGAGGTCCCCAGGTAACTAATAGTAATAGGTATAAGCTTATTACTATTAGGTTGTCATACGTTGTATGACCCGCCGCGCACGAAGTGCGCGGCTCCCCCTGTAGCGTCGAAGACGCTATAGTGAAGCGACCGTGGGGGTCACCACGTGATACAATTATTAGGGGGGGTTGACGGATGTTACTCGCCTAAATTTCTTTGTAGGTTAACAACCTACTTACCTACGTACCAGGGCACGCGCCGAGTTGGACTCGTCAACGGTATGGAACAAATATTTTCGAGTATCACCCGTTAAAAATTTCTTCGAAGTAGCGCGCGCTGCTTTCTTCTCGAAATGGCAAATGCTACTGGCTACGAAGTAGCGCGCCGGGCCAGACCATTAACAATGGTCAGGGGGCACTCATTGTGGTCTGTCATGTGTCAGTGTCTGTTTACTTTCATACGACAATGCAATGCATGTTTTCAAATATAATAATAGGCGGGTGTGGTGCAAGTTAATAATAATAAGGGGTCGTTCACATATTACGTAATCATTTGTTGGAAAATTTTACCCCCCCCCCTCCGTAATCAGTTTTACACTTAGCTATTGTGTCAAAATTACACTAGCGTAATCATTCGGAAACCCCCCCCTCAGCTGATTACGTAATTGTTACTGGGCCGCGCTCAGCTGTCATTCCGCCTAATCTCTATGTTAATGAACATAATAGCCTGGCCGGGTCCTCAGGTAAGTAATATGTGACCCCTAAGGGTTAATTTCTAAAACGATTTAAATAAAAATGGCCGGGTTACACTAATACACTAGTAAACTGAATTAACTAAATAAACTGCATGCAAACTTTAAGATGTCACAACAACATTTATTGTGAAAAACGGTTATCGAAGCAAGCGCAGTAAATCCACAGCCAAAAGATTTAAGTATAACCAAAGCACATTTGATAAAAGGAAGTTCTCACTGCAATGCAGTAATATAGTTCCTTATTAAAACAAAATAGGATAATAATAATAATAATAGGATTATGGCCACATAGCAATCTCGACAAAACTTGAAACCCAACTGCACTCTACGCTATTGCAGTTCGCACAATATTTTCAAATGCGTCCTCTAGAAAGTTTGACTCTCGAATATTATTTGACCATTGTTAATGGTTTGGCCCGGCGCGCGCTGCTTCGTAGCACGTGCCATCGAGAAGAAAGCGGCGCGCGCCCCAGAAAACCTTACCGCCTGCTGGGCTTGCGAGACTGCATGCTAGAGGTGATAGATTTTCAACCGCTCCTACTAAATCGCTCGCCCAAATTTTAAGAAAATTCTTGTGAAAAGGCCCTTTAGGCATGAAAGTGATCTGTATCGGTGTATTTTTGGACGCTGATTCCGAATCACCCCGCATGACGTAGGGTAAAATGCTTCTCTGGAAAGTTATGGGCAAAAAACCGTTTTGGTCACGTGACAGGCTAGTAAAACGTGAATTCGATTATTTAGGGTTCGGGTTAGGGTTAGGGTTGTGGTTAAGATTATAGATAGCTTCGGGGTTATGGTAAGGGTTAGGGTTGGGATTAGGGTTTATGTAAAACCGTTTTGTACGGCTGCAAAATCAAAAAAACCAAAGTCACGTGAAATTTTTGGGCGAGCGATTTAGTAAAAGCCATTTTCAACAGCACGTTTGTCGTCGCGCGTCACGTCAAGTTTACCTTTCGCACGCTGCATTGAGCCTAGTAGTCATGACAACGACATTTCTGTGCAAAGTTTAAAAGCTGTGATCTTTTATTTAGCCCAAAATAAAACTTTTCGGTTTAATTCAGAATCTACGTTGTCCCAAATTTGGCTCCTGGGGAGCCAACTGTAAATTACGAGACGGAAATTTTGTTGAAAACCGGAAGGTTCTATTTATTTTACTTTTGGAGATATACCCCAGCTGGTAGGGTTTGCTGGGGCTACTTCGAAGAAATTTAGACGAGTAACATCCGTCAATAATATTATATGTTATGTACTTGAAGTAAGGGGCTTGCTCTAACCAGAGCCCGATCTCGCTTAAGCAGTAGCGCGCGACCGCCGAAGGCGGCACGGGAGTATATTCTACTTGTGAAACAAGCGCGTCACGCATTACGCGTATGCACATGGCTATGTGAAGTAAGGGGCCATCTAGTTCTACTTAGGACGTCCGCCAAAATCGCAGATTTCAGACACCCTCCCTCCGGCTCTCCCCCTGACCGGGTCACAGGAGTACTATATATTCTATATAGTGCAAAGAAACTGCTGCTAAGATCACTGCTACTATACTAACAGTAACTGCTGCTGTCGCGCGCGCGCCCATAGCGGCAGTTAGTTGTAGGTTTACAACCTACCAGGACGCGCGCCGAGTTGGACTCGTCGACGGTCCATATATGGAACAGATATTTTACGAGTATCACCCGTTAAGCAGTTAGCGGCAGTTTTCAGCAGTTGCGCGCCCGAATTGGGTGTGTCCGAATTTTCAAAACCACCCCCCCCCCCCCTTTCAAACCACCCCCCTTCCCCTACTCCGGATTTCTAGCTACTCTTAAGAGTACAAATAAAACCAACTCAAATTCATTGTTAATAAAATTCAAAGAGTTGAAATAGAATTCAATTTCAAAGAGTTGAAATAAATGGGACTTTTTCGTTAATTCTCTTAAAATTTCCGGACGTCCGGATTTTCAGAAACCACCCCCCTTCCCCTGTCCTGTGTCCGAAAATTCAAAACCAACCCCTCCCTAATTGCCGGTCGTCCTAAGTAGATGGCGTCCGCCAAAATCGCAGATTGTCAGACCACCCCCTCCCCCTGTTCAGGTGTGTCCGAATTTTTTAAGACCACCCCCTTCCCTATTTGCCGTCCTAAGTAGATGGCCCCTAATATAGATGTGGATTCTCGTGGAGAGGTGAGGTACATTTGTTTAGGGGTCGTTCACATATTACGTAATATGTGAACGACCCCTTACTTCAATAGTAAGTATCCGCTCAGCAGAGGAGAGAGGTGATGCTTGTAGGTTTACAACCTACCAGGACGCGCGCCGAGTTGGACTAGCTCGTCGACGGTCCTGTACCCGCTCAGCAGAGGAAAGAGGTGATGCACATTTTGTATTATGGAACGCTTGTAACTCATTCTTGTTACCCCCTTTGAAAGTCCCGAATTATTTCTGAACGAAAGCTTAAAAATAACCGAGATATTGACATTGTTATTAACTCATTTTGATGACTGTTCTTGACCTAAAATTGCACGAGAAATCGATTCAACTAGGTTTCAGAACTTATAAGTTTATAGACAGTTAATTCTGGCCCTCCTTGAACAGTCAAGAAGATTTTACTACCAAAATCGAATACCAATTCTGAAAAAAAATTAATACATAAATATTCTACACCCAGCCGAGCGGCGGGCAACACGACAAAAGATCTAAATTCTAAAGTATTCCATTCTTAATTATAAAATAAGTAACAACAAATTTAACAATCCCACACAAAACCTCCAACATACTCATGGAAAGTTCTTTAATAAAGTTGCTTTCCCAAATATTTGAGGCAGAAGTTCGAGAAACTTTTAAAAACTTCATTCAAAGTCTGTTCTGAGGAGCGGTAATGTCCTGACCGGAGGGTTGCTGGGGTTCAACCTCCTCGCCCTTCTCTGTGCAATACCCCAGAGACAGCTCAGGGAACACGTCCCCATCGATCAGCCAGTGTCCAATCCCAGTCCTAACTGAACTCTGAGCTACAATCATAGCCTCCCCGATCAGTGAGATCATCACAGAGAGCACCACGTAGATGAAGAGAATAATGAAGGAGTAGAAATATACCTTGGAGAATATGGATAGAAGGTGACTTGAGCTTGTTACCTGCATGAAGGTGTCAAGGATTTCATCTCCGTTTATGATAGCGAACAGTGTGTCCACTGTTTGGCCGATTGAAGCGAACTTGTAAGTGTAGGGAGCAAAAACAGCCCAGCCGCACAGAACGTAACCAAGATAAATGGCCAGGATGCAAATCATGAGACGGAGAATGTTAGGCATTGCTACTGACAATGTCAACACCAGGATGTAATATCCTTTGTCAAACGAAAGGAACCTTAGTCCTGTTATCCAGTTTATTGCTACAGCAGATCCGATCAAAACAGCAGTCATGTCAAGATGACTATCTGCGTCGTAATCCAGGTTTATCTTAAACACAATTCCGGCTATCGTGATTATTTCAGCAAAAATACTGAAAAAGTCCCAGCCACTGAAAAATGTACATGTTTCAGACCATGTTAGTTTTCTGTTATAATGGAAGTGGTAGAAATTTCTTGTTTCGATCAACAACCTCAGGGTTGCCCTGATCCTTTTCAAAACCAAAAACCCGGTTATGAGGGATAGGATCATTACAGTGGAATCAATAATTATCTGTCCCAGGGTCTCTCTCAAACCGATCATACCGTCTTGTGGAGCGTACTTGCTGGATTTGTTGCACGGCAATTCGTCATAACTCAACACAAATTCGCTGACGATTGCTCCCGACATAACTTGGTTCCGGAGAGTTTGAGTTGCATACAACAACACACACTTTGGTCGAGCCTTCACGGACAAGAAGATGGTCCTGATTTGGAATGTCATCTTCAAGCTGATGAAGCCATTGTAAGATTCGGGCAACATTTCCACCACTGTCCGTTTACACTCCAGTCGGGTACTGTTCCTGCAGTCAACTTTTGTACATTTGGTCGATGTTTTCTCGTCGAAAGTGAAATTCCATTCCGAGACATCGACGATGGTGTTGTTGAACCGTGTGACACACAAGTCTGGCAGAACAGTTTTGTTGTTGTTATCTTTATTGAACCCAAATATACCGACAGCACTACTGGTGAGATTGAAAAAGTGGATGAGGCTATGTGAAGTGGAGTCAGCTATTTCGTACTGCTTGTGCACAACGGGCCCGCCTGGCAAAGACGCGTCCCGATTCGAATCTGTACTGTAATCCTTAATCAGCAAATTTCCCAGATTGTTTGTGTAGGCATTCAATACTGTCCTTAACTGACACTTATCCTGTCCGAATAGTAACAGCAGCATTGTTAAGCAGAGCAGTTTGAGCAGGTGGAATATGAGCTTCCAGGGCACACGACCCCGTGACGTGTACTTCTCGAATGGAGTCATAAGAAGTTTTTTAGGGATGTCCGTAATTGATGGCGCTGATTGTAAAACATGGTTGATCTGCCAAAAGATGAAATGCTTTCACTCTGACTTAATTCTTCCAGGAGAGGGTCGTCATCAGATTCATTGTCTGCTCTGTTTTTAGAAGCAACCTCACGGCGCTGAGAAGCCTCTTGGAAGTTTATGCTACCCTGGTGAAAGCTTCCTGAGTTGATACTGCGTTGTAGAAAATGAGGGTCAGTGTGATTGAGGTTGGGACGAAGTAGATTGGCTGAAGAATGTGCACTCATCCTGTACATAAACTGGGAAGATAATTAATTGATTAATTGAAGTGCTCAACTGAATGGTTTTTCGTGTTTATTACAAATCACTACAGTGTATGGTAAAAAATTATTGCTTGATAATGAACCAACATATTAGAAGATTGGCAATTATTCCAGATAGAAGTACAGCTTAGAATTATTTCGGTTAAGATCAGTAATTAGATGTGGTTGATGCAGAGAATAATAAACAGGAATTACATAGAATATCAACTGAAATACAAAATGTCAAATTGTCAAAACGAAAACCAGACGTGGACATAAAACAAGTCGAAAAGGGTAAGAAGTTGGAGTTAAAAGGTTTAATTATATGTAAACATGCAAAATGTAATATAACACAACATCACATACAAACAAAGGAGTCACAAGATCAAATCTGACTAACAAATTAAATCATTACCTTTTTAGGAAATGTTGGTTGCCATATAAGGAAAAATGCGCGCCAAAATGCGCATTGACGAATACAAACAGCAACTTGATATGTTATTATGCATTTCGCGCGTTCCAACGCCAAATTTAGTAGACTCGTTCTTAACGGAAAAGATTCTGGTGGCACTTTCTGTCGCAAGATACGTTACTGAAAATATCAAATAGCTCATTTTCAAACAGATTTCACAGCAAATTCATATTTTCGACAATTAATAACCCTTTTTCCTGTAACGTTCTGTAAATTCTCGGTCCGACTTCCGATCTTTATCTGGAATCACGCAATCGCCCAAATGGGAATTCCACGTTATAGACATTTGATGGGACGTAAGATCTGAAGGATGGACCAGAAGAAGATACTTCATATCTTCTTTAATTTTATCGATCCCCGGCCTTCTCCTTATTCTATACTCAAACAAATCGGACTGAACTTTCTTCGGTTTACTACGAACATCATTATTTGAACTACTTAACGCGTTCAGTTTTTCAGATTTCCTTTTCGATCTCCTGGGAGCCTTGATGTCTCTGGTTGCTGTGTGCGGTTGAGAGTCCAGTAACATCGTCTCTGGTGAACGGTCATTCTCCCGTGACGAGACAGGATCACGCGAAATAACAATGTCACGTGATATGGCAATATCACGTGACGTCACAGGATCATGTGACGTCACAGGATCACGTGACGTCACAGGATCACGTGACGTCACAGGATCACGTGACGTCACAGGATCATGTGAAGTCACATCCTCAGTCTCAAGGGCCGTCATGTAAGATGCTGCACTGTCTGGAGTATGTGAACTACAAGGACTACAGTCATAGGGCTCATTCGGAGGATTATGAAGTTTCATCCGTTTTGTTTGTCTGTTATCAAGATCATGATTTTTCTTGTTCTACCAAACTCTCCGTTTAGTGATGGTTTCTCTGATGTCACTGAGTTACCACATGGTGCTGGTATTTTTATTTCTGATGATATCTGACAGTTTTGTAGCGAACAATTGCGGAAAACTTCGAGAGCTTTTCTAAAGTTTAATTCTCTGTTGGAGGGGGCGGAAATATCCATTGGACCTGAAATATGGACTTTTAGATACTACCGGAGGAGCTTTGAAAAACATGACGTGTTAATCGTCTTCAGTTTCAGATATTAGTATTAACCACAGTTAATCAACTGCAAATTAAATAGAGGTGCAAAATTCATGTTATCAACAAGAATAGAGTTTTATTCAAAAAATGAAACGATCACAATTTGATAAGTAACTAAATGTCTAAATTAATGAATTAAAGCGATAATATTAAAATATTGACATATTCACAACATGGTTCGATAAAAGCTTATGTGAAAAGCGGATAGAAATAAATTTACAAATATTGTTTTATAAACATGTCTGTGTATACTGTAATAATATGTAGTTAATAATATAATATGGTAAAATATAAAGTACAAATTTTGTATCATTCTGACAGATAAAATGCTTAAATATTATGAAATCTGAATATTAAAATGATTGATATTATAATGCCTATGTTTGATTGATCAATACAATAGGTCAGCTCGCCAATCCATACAGCTCATTAGATGTTGACGTAATCCCTATCGTATTTTTCAAGCTGTTTAGCGATGTGACTTGCTTTCTCCATCAAATTCAGGATGTTATCTTCCTCGTTTGATACAGATTTATCGAACTGAAATAAAGTTAAATGAAAAGTTACATAATGTTATTGAAAGTTACCTAAGATTAAAATGTAAGAAATGCAAATTTCGGTGTTTCCTTTCACGATACATTGGATAAGCTAAATTACGGAAATAAATCTTATAATGTAATGAAAGTAACCTTTTGTATCTTGTTTTCAACTTGTTTTATTTCGTCTTCTAGTGGCATGATTATAGCTATTCTGAAGTAAACCTGTTAATTTTGAAATAAGAAATGGATTGGTTTCTTAAAGGTTGTACAAGCTGTTTACAAGTAAGGGTAAATGTATCGTGTTATTGAACTCAGGGTAAAATTAATGAAAGATCATAATATTAAAATAATTCGTACCTTTTTTGTTTGGATATTATGTAGTATATAGCAACAGATCTAAAACATGACAAAGTTAATAGACTGAACTTACATCTAACCTCTAAAAGAATAAATTATTTCCCGGAAGTAAAATTGAGTAAAAACAAAACACAAGAAATACTCATTAAAATTCTCAAAATCTAGATCTTATTTTGATTTCTACTATTTCACAGACAAATCATTCAATTTCTCAGCAGTCCGGTCAACTTCAATATTTGCTTCTACTTTCTCATCAGTTCTTAAATCACTCACACCAATATCTGATAAATTCTTATCAGTAGCTTCTGATAAATTCTTATCAGTAGCTTCTGATAAATTCTTATCAGTAGCTTGTGATAAAATACTAACAGTAACGTCTGATAAATTAACACTATTCTGTTCGATATTTTTGCCGTTCTTTAGAAGACAAGCTTGCTTGTAAGGAGGGTTTATTGGGGACTGTACTGGGGGTCTGTAAACGTACGGTATGTCTCCTTCCTCTAGTGTATAACTCTTATCTGAATCGTACGCACTGAAGTTGTGTTTAAGATCAGATACGCAACCAGGCCAGGGGGATTCCAAGATTGAAGAGATTCTAGAATCACTCACACATAATAGAAATCATTAACATGAACTGAATCAGTTGACCTGGTGACCCTAACAGAAGTTACCTGAGGTCTCCGCATGCTATGTAAGGAACCACGTATCTGTTAACTCCATCCAAACTATCGAAATCAAAGTTGTAGTCCAGCTGCAACATGGGATTTATCATGGAGGGAATGTACCCCTCCGGAGGATTGTAGCCTGATAAATAGGGTTTAATTAGTGATAATTAATCAAAATATATATTTGGGAAACATTTTATATCATATTTTATAATTTGTCCACTTAAAACCAATAATAAAATTAGCTTTACCTCTGCAGACGACGAATGCCTCAATACTGGAGTTTCTACTCGATCGAGGCTTGCAACACTTGACATCCTCAAAGAATATTCTCAGCTGACTGAACAGTAATGCTACATCCTTCCCTCTAAAAATCTGAAATTCAGGTGGGTTTATAATATCATTTGTGATTTGAGGAAGGGTTAAAGAAGGGAGCGCAGTGAGCAATATTTCAGCGAAAGCTTTTCATCTTTTGAACTACTCTATTATTCGTTATTTTCACTATCAAATATCAATACTAGGTACTAAATATTTATGAAGTGTCCAACATTCGAAAGACGTTTGTTTTGCTAACAGCGATTGTTTGGGTTTGGCAGCGATTGTTTCTAAATTGTTGGTTGCTGTGATGAGCTCCTCCACATAGCAGTGGAGATCGAGGCAAAAGTACCTATCATAGGAGCAGGTGCAAAGACAACAGTTAGCGCTTCGACCACCTCCACATTTGAAACTGGAAGCACCACCACAAAGACCCACACGGATAGCATCAATGCATGGGTGCAACTACCGGGAAGATCCAAGATAACAGCTGTCATTGCTGGTACCGAGTACAAAGCTGATATCCCCTACTCATCAACCATTGCATCAGGAAGGTGTACTATGATGAATCTTAGGCATAATGCATATGCTACGATATTTGGAGTCTACAAGGTCGTGGCCGTATGTGAGATAAAAGTTACTTATGGGGCAATTGAGTATTTTGACTTAATATAATAAAGCTATCAAGAGTTTCGGCTGAAAATACTTCAGCCTGATTTTAATCTAAAAACCGGCCACCATAGAAGAAGACTAATTTGAATCTTCTTATTTCTGGTTAATATTAGAATTTTGCAATTTGAAAGTTTGTCTCTTTTGTTGTTTCACTCCTGAAATTGTTGTCTTACAGAATTCCAGCGGCTACCTCTGTTTATAATTATTCAAGGAGAAATTCAGGAATTGTATTCGAGCTAAGTAAGAGACGCTAAATGAATCATTTTACAGCTCATGTACTCATCTTATGTTGTTAAGAGCGTATGTCATTGGGACAAACGATTTGGGATATATAACACAGAATATAACATCACATCATATCATTGGCCCTGATAACTACCTCCCTCGCTATATGACACTAATACAATGCCATATGAATTTGTAATTAAAACTTGGTTACCTTAGCAACGAAAGTGCCACCCAGCTTCAATACGTGAGTGGTAATGTTGAGAGCAGCCAGGAGCAGCTGGGCCTGAATAAACTCGTCGATATCGTGGAGTCCTGTCACATCAGGTGCTCCGTCACATACAACTAGATCAGCTTCCTCTCCTGCGAATATGTTGTAATTTCTAGGTCTGTGTATTGTGTGATTGGTATTTCAAATATTCAAACCATAAGAGAATTCTTTATAATAGAATCTAATAATATATAGAATTCAATATTAGTGGGGCGATGAAACATATAATAAATCTTAAATATGATAAGTGACGTCCAAACTCCAATGACCAGTTTCAGCAACAACCAATCAAATCGATCAATTCATTGAATTGCTGTCATGTGTCAGAACAAATCCGATTCACCTTCCAACTTTACTGTTAAGTCCATAAACACTTGTTATATTAACAATTTGTAACAAACTCAGACCAGATATCTGAACATCTTACCGGTGAGCTCAGTTAACTAACCTTCAAAGTGTCGGATGATATTCTCAGCAGTAGATGTCTTGGTGATGTCACCCTGTATCTGTATAACACCTGGTAGAGGTGCCATTGCTTGCAGGTCTACAGCCACTATCTTTACATCGTTCTGGTTTTGGTATAGTTGCCTGCTGAGGACCTGGAGATTAAGCTAACGTTAGCAGTATGGCCAATGACAAAATATGAAATTATTAATATGAACCAGGAAAATTTGATTATCAATACTAAATATTCTCAAAGCAAGACCGCTGTTGAAGCTACTTTGGTGCGATTGCCACCCAAAACAGCATTAGGGTCTTTAAATGGCTCTCCGCTTGTGTTTTGATAACTACTGATAAATTATGGGGGGGGGGGGGGGGGGGGGGGGTGTCACGTCCGTCTATGTCCGCCTATGTCCTGTCCTTTTTGGATTCTACGAGACAACGGACGTGTTTTTTGGGACATTGGCGGACATAAACGGACATTAGCGGACTTGGACGGACATTGGCGGACATAGACGGACATTGGCGGACTTGGACGGACATTAGCGGACTTGGACGGACAATGGCGGACTTGGACGGACATTGGCAGACTCGGACGGACATTGTCGGACTCAGACGGACTCGTTTTGCAAAGGGCAGGCCTGTCTTCCGAGATCGCAAAACAAAGGGGAATCCTTGAGTCCTTAATCATTTGTAAAAAAGTCTCATCATGTTTGTCCGCCCAGGTCCGCTTATGTCCTGTCCTTTTTAGGATTCTATGAGACAACAGACGTGTTTTTTGGGCCATTAGCACCCTACGCGCGTGGGGTGGACTCCTGGGGTGGACTTTTATTCAGCGCGTATTTTGTAGCCTGTTCAACTTGACGTTTTGAATCGTTACTATCTCAATGTCACAGATACATAGAATGTGAGGTGATCATCTTAAAGAGAAACGTCTCAGCTTTCACCTGGTGTAAAGTTTATCTTTGTTCTCAAAATATAGCTCGCTCAGTGTGCAACAGAAGTTGACATTACAATAACCATGTCCGCGACCGGTCGTCAGATACCGGAGTCTTGCACAAAATTGGGTCCCTAAATTAAAATTTTATGACACAGTTACGATGAACTAGTGTCTAGGGAAACATTTGGTGAAAGTTTCAACTCTCTACTATAAAAATAGCTATAGTTATTGAAGATAAACCGTGAGAAAATTCCTCTTGTCGGGATCGACGCTATCAGAACATCCCTTCTGTACCACGTGACAACGATTAGAGCGTCACGTGGCCGTCACGTGACACAAGTGCGCGCATCTGTTTGACCTTTCTCATGGGAAATATTGATTGCCTGATCGATCTCCTGGGAAATCCTGATTGCTACGGAAAGGGCTGACAACCACTGTTATTTTCGTTCCTCAATTTTCCAGTTCACTTGCTCAGTGCTGTCAGTTGTTTTTTGTTTGCCCTGCTAAATAAATTTCACTCCGTCATAATCCCCTACTCCCCTATCCAATGAACTGTTTCTGTTACAGCTGCCATTCTGTTGACTTGACCCTAACTTAGTCTTATCATTGTCACTTGATAACTTTATCCGTGTGCACTTTCTCGAAACTCGCTTATTTTTGTCAAGACTCAGCTTATCTCAGATCTAAATGTTGCCTTAACAGACTTACTGGTCACTGCACTGGGCCCTCCGTTAAATACAAATATCATATGAGCAGCCGATCGATTTATTGCTTGAACTGTGCATCCTTTTTTTCAAATACATAAGGTCAATTTTTCTATCGTGAAACTTAGTCACTGAAAGTGAAGACAACGCAATCTGGCTGTGCCGGTTCCCCTCTGCCTAGATCACTTAGAATATCCATAGTTAGCAATACTTTAATCGTTTAATGCAGCGATATAGCCAGTTATTAATGCCACATTGTAGATTTTAGCCTGTTCCAATCATCCTTATATCGAGTTAATGAAATTTATGAAATTGCCTACCGTTCAAATCGCTCTCTGTTGTTAGCACCACACTGATTAACTACAATGTTCCAATTTTTTAGAATTATGTCCGACATAATTCTAATTTTTGCTGTTACAGGATATAGTTATGGTATAATGGCACGCAGGAATAAGTCATCCCTGTCCTCCAAAAAGCACATGAAAAGGTACTTGGTAAGCCATGTCTTTTCCAATATCAAATCCAATGTATCACAATCTGTGGACTTTTTACTCAAAAACTAGATTGATTAATTGATAATTCATTGCTGATTGTTCACGCGCCCTGTATGGAAGTATAAAAATGGTAATCCGCATACTCCAGGAAGAATTGAAGCAATCTCAAGAGAAAAGAAGGGAATCTGGATCCTTCGTCGGATCGTCACAGAGCTTAGAGGGGAGCTCTACGCTTCACTGGCCATGCAAAGCAGGGAGAGTGACGGAGGCGGAGGCACTGCTGGCTGCTGGAGCGGACATTAACAAGCTGGACAGAGCGCAGTTGAACCCTTTCATGGACGCGATCAACTCAGGTAAATCATTTGACCGCCTTAACAATATGGGTTTATCTAACATTGGTAATAGTAGCAAGAGGTTTTAGTCATGCGTTTGATTACAGCACAGTGTGAAACCCTGAAGCATACGTCGAGCTCTAAACTCTGTTTTGTCTGATAATCAATTATTTGAATATTGAAGGATTAAATTTGGTAACTTGATGATCACATAATTAACAGGACAGGTCGACTGTGCTAGATGGCTGCTGAGGCAAGACGGTTGAAAGCTCCAGCCCGAGATATGGTCGTTTTGTAGGGAGAGGGGGCTAGAGTCAGTGCTAACAGCTTAACAGAAGGTAAAATCCTGAACTTTTGTTCATTGATTCTTTGAATCAATGAACAGATTCAAAGAATCAATGAACAATCGTTCAGATGTAAAAATTATTTATTCACTATTTTGCATTACATTTAGTTACAGGACTGACATGCGACATCCGTCGTTGACCTTTGTCTTTATTTCAGCAAGGTACGGAGAGCGATCCATGGCTGTCCTGATAGACCCACTCAGACTCCTGCCGGAAGATACTCCTCCGGTTGATCCAGATGAGACAGTTCTAGCAGATGATCATTGATCAGTTACAGACTGAAGAACATATCCCACAGATCAATGCGTCAACATCTGCAAATGAAGGTACTTCAATCTGCTCTTCTTGTATATGTCTTTGTGCCTGCGTCTGTGATTGTACTGAAGTGTACTCTGTGTGTTTGTGCCTGTGTCTGTCTTTGTATCGAGTGTGTGTCTCTGATTGTACTGCGTGTGTCCGTAATTGTAATGTAGTGTACTGAAGTGAACTATGTGTGTTTATGTGTGTGTGTCTGTGTGTGTATGTGTCTGTGTGTGTATGTGTCTGTGTGTGTATGTGTCTGTGTGTGTATGTGTCTGTGTGTATCTGTGTCTGTCTGTGTGTCCGTCTGTGTCTGTGTGTGTCTGTGTTTATGCTGTGTCTGTGTGTCTATGTCTGTATGTGTTTGTGGGTGTGTGTATCTGTCTGTCTGTCTGTCTGTCTGTCTGTCTGTCTGTCTGTGTGTCTGTCTGTCTGTCTGTGTGTGTGAGTGAGTGTGTGTCTCTGTGCGTCTGTGTGTGTGTGTGTGTGAGTGTGTCTCTGTGCGTCTGTGTGTGTGTGTGTGTGTGTGTGTGTGTGTGTGTGTGTGTGTGTGTGTGTGTGTGTGTGTGTGTGTGTGTGTGTGTGTGTGTGTGTGTGCGTGTGTGTGTGTGTGTGTGTTCTTTCATAGAAGTTGTTATTTCCAAGATACGAAGTTCGAAAAGATAGCATTTAGTAATAGACGAATTTTGCAGCTGATATCAGAATCGAAATGATGATGGTACTACACGAGATGCTCATGGAAAAGGTATCAGTTTGCTTTTCTCCTCCCACGAGCAGTACAAAGTGTGGGTTCAACTTTAATCTGATAGAAGATATCGTATGCGGAACCCAAGCCCGGCTATGTCTGTACATAATAACGAAAGAAACCGGTAAGTTTTTAATCATGTAAATGTTCGGCCGAACGTTTGCTTTCATTTTAGACTAGTGACGAAAATCAACAATCGTTTGCCAGTTTGGTTAGTAAAATCGACAAAAAATAGTCCATTCCCCAAGGCCATGATATTCGAATTCTGCCCGTTGAAATCGGCCACTCTGATTTTTATCATTGAACTTTGCATTGATGACATGTTCATTCTCTACAGGTTATGCTGCGAGGGCGTTTAGCTCGATAGATGTTGAAAATGCCCACAGCATTATAAATCATTTGGAACGCCGAGGGGTCCAAAACTCCTCAATCGAAGAGCTTAGTAGACATGTCAGCAACCTACAGAGACTTCAAATTCTCAGGAAAACCTCTCTAGGACGGTAATACATTAACTTGTTTAGTTAATAAATTTAATAAGTAGATTTTGAGTGATGATTACTCACTACTGATATCGAGGTACCATAAAAAGGGTATATAAACTTATCACTTATGCTTATATGCTTATACTCTTATACTATCAATGAATATCAAATCGCCTTCTCTAGTTATCAAACCCAACATAAATTAAATCTCGGCCTACAAGGACTATTCGATATTTACAACAGACCGAGTGAATGTCTCAATCTTTTCAGGAAGCTTTATACTCCGACATCCACAATTTACCACGCCCCTGAGATCGACAAAGGTCTTTCTGATAGATTGACTTCCAGCCAATTCGATCTATCGAAGCCGAGTGGGAAGAACAAAGAACTGAAACCCATGGTCGCAACGATGCTCCTCGCGGACAAGGGAGAGTTAGGGCCATCGGTGGTCACAAGACTGCAGAATATTTATTTTTTTAAGCGTTGAGGTTGTCACGAAAGCGTACTGTAACGGGACTGTATCAGATTTGAGTGATTTGATTTTGTGATTCGCAGTTCACGTGATTTTATTGTGATCTTAGACTGTAAAAACTATAAAGGTTCAAGTTGAACTATCGTCGCCATGATTATGTATTTTGGAACTGTTCACGTTGAAATTGCTTTGTTAATCAGCAGTCTTCCTTGGTTACCTTCTACTGTGTAATGCAGCTACGATCAACGATACTTAGCTAGTACATTCATAGTAACTGCACTGAGAAGAGTAAAAAATTTGAGCTTTGACGGAATAACATTTCCTTGTTTTTAGATACGGTTACTATTCTAGTGAGGGGTTCATAGCTGACCATTAAGGTCTTACTCACAATAATTTGTGCTCTGATATTGGCCGTACTGACTGCTGTTGAAAAAGCCACGCCATCAGATGCGCGTCACGAGAGTCCACCCCAGTAGACCCCACTACGTACAAAATTTGAAATTTTCCCAAAAACTTCTGACTAAGCTAGTTTGTTTTCAATAACTTTTGCAATATTAACAGTAGACCCTTCAAATTTTCACCAAATGTTTCCCTAGACACTAGTTCATCGTAACTGTGTCATAAAATTTTAATTTAGGGACCCAATTTTGTGCAAGACTCCGGTATCTGACGACCGGTCGCGGACATGGTTATTGTAATGTCAACTTCTGTTGCACACTGAGCGAGCTATATTTTGAGAACAAAGATAAACTTTACACCAGGTGAAAGCTGAGACGTTTCTCTTTAAGATGATCACCTCACATTCTATGTATCTGTGACATTGAGATAGTAACGATTCAAAACGTCAAGTTGAACAGGCTACAAAATACGCGCTGAATAAAAGTCCACCCCAGGAGTCCACCCCACGCGCGTAGGGTGATTAGCGGACATTGACGGACATAATAGGGAAACCCTCGGGTCCGGACTTCGAAAATCGAAAAAATATCTTCGGCTCATAATGATCAGGGTGACATAAATCGTGGAAAAAAGTGATTTTCAGAAAAACTTTGACAAAATTTTGTCTTAGAAAATTTTTGGTCCGAGTCATTCTCGATACGTCCCTCCTGTACATCGAGAGCTCCCGCTTCCGAGCTCGTGTTGCAAGGGAGGCCTGCCTTCCGAGATCACATTACAAGAAGGAACCCTCGAGTCCGAAATCGTATATCGAAGGGTAGATCCGGACTTCGAAAATCGAAAAAATATCTTTGGCTCATAATGATCAGGGTGACATAAATCGTGGAATAAAGTGGTTTTCAGAAAAACTTTGAAAAAAATGTGTCTTAGAAAATTTTTGGTCCGAGTCATTCTCGATACGTCCCTCCTGTATCAAGAGCTCCCGCTTCCGAGCTCGTGTTGCAAGGTAGGCCTGCCTTCCGAGATCGCATTACTGGGGGGAAACGTCGAGTCCAAAATTATGTATGGAGGCCAGGGGTAAGGTGCACTTCGAAATTGTGATAGCGACAGTTGTCCGAAATTTCGATCTGATTTCGATTCAACGCAGTTCCAGAGACATGATCTGAACTATTACTTGCTAATTGATATTTGTACAAGCAATGTCACAAGATTACCCGTAAGCTTCTGACATACGAATGTGATCCGAATTTACAAATGTAATCGGACGGATGTCGCAAAAACCGATTCCTGTCCGAGAGCGAAATCTGTCCGAAATCCCTAATTCAGCTGTCGGACAGATGTCGCTGACAGACAGATGTCGCTGTCGGACAGGTGTCGCTGTCGGACAGATGTCGCCCAATCACAATATTGTGGGAGGGCCAACGGCATAAATGGAGAATATCTCATGAGCTTTTCCATTTTCTCCATAGAAAAAGTCTGATTGGGCGACATCTTGTCCTTTGAGATTGAAACTTTGTGACGGAATATGAAGGTCACGTGTTCAGGGTAGCTACGTATTTGGCTCATTACTGGACAATCACGTGACTCAGCTCTAGACGCCAGACGGTGATTAGCACTGTATTAGACAGTGACTGCTTGTGAACAGCCCTATTAAGCACCGCTGGTTGTAAGTCACGTGACACAAATAGAGCGATTCTATTGGATTTCAAATGATCACGTGATATCGATCCTGCACTCTGATTTGCTCCCGGGCTGCATCTCAGCACGCATTGCCTATAAATAGCCAGACCAAGGAACCATTGGGTTCAATTCGTTCTCTTCCAGCGAGCCAAGCACCTTCTTAACTACTTACTATAGCCGGATTTTTGATCGATTTCCAAATTGTATCACTATTATAGTGAAATTGAGTGGAATTTGAATTGCAAAATAGTCGAATTGATCTTGGCCTCTATTAGCCTGGTATGAGTCTCCAGTAGCCTTGTATGAAGAGTACACACTAAACAGTAGGCACAGTACCTACTTAGCGAAATATAACACAAATTGAGAAAATTTAACGTTTTATTTAGCAACATTTAGTTCATTTTGGTGTCCACTAATGTCCGCCAATGTCCGCCAATGTCCGTTTATGTCCGCCTATGTCCGTCTATGTCCGCCTATGTCCGCCTATGTCCGCCTATGTCCGTCTATGTCCGCCTATGTCCTGTCCTTTTTGGATTCTATGAGACAAGCGGACATAGACGGACCCAGTGGCAAATAGTCAGGCGTCCAGGAATTTAACACCTAGTCAAAATTTGTTGATAACCGGTAAAAAAAGATTCTTGTGGAAAAAATATTCACATTAATTTAAAATTAAATCAAAATTGGTCGCTCTCAGGGCTAACGCGATGTTACATCATTTTATCGACTCGAAGTTCGAATCGAGCGCATTCCTAGATTCCATGACTATTTCTTACCTATAAGATTGCTTGACTATTTTTTGCGCATTCAGACACCAAAAAAACGCGCAGAAAACGCGAGCTATCCATTCCTCCTTCCTCAACATCCCGGAATATGAAAAAATAGTCATGTAAAATAGTCATTTGAAATAGTCATGCAAAATTTCAGCTCTGATACGCTAAAATATCAAGTTAATCTTAAACAATCGACAATCTAATATGAATCCTCCCAATCCTCCCAGCCATATTAACTGGTGAACGGTGTAAATATAGAGCGGTATTTTAAAATGTAGCATTCAAAATTTTATGGATTCAAGTTGGCTCCTTTAGTCTAGATTCATTTAGAAAATTCTCGAAGTTCGAGTAATACAGTATTCTCAGGGTTTGGCGCTTAAGGAAGCTTCACATCCGAGACCGATTTCAACGAATCAATTTAATATTGTAGCTACAAGTCAACAACAGTGCAAGTGGGAAGGAAGTGAATCTAGCCATTGCTACTATATCAGGGGAACTCGTGTGTTCTAGGCTTAAGCAAGCTTCACATCCTAGATCATCTAGAGTACAGTGCAGACAACCCCCTCCATTATACATCCCTATCCCGCTTTAAGTCCGAAGTTTATCATTGTTTATAGTCCAATATTGTATCTAACCTGGCAGAAGCAAGCTTCAGATCCAGAGTCAGACCATAAATATCGACACAAGGTCGATGCCACTTTCAGAGTAGCGAATCATTCATCATGCTGATGAGAGTCAAATCTTTGAACTCGATCTACCGAGTTAGTATGAAAAATTGATTGTGGGCTAGGCTCTATACTTCTTTTAAAAAATATTTCCTTGCGTTTCAAATAAATTAAAGAATTCTCAGAAATTTTTTATTTAATTTCAAAATTTGCAATTGCATATTCATCCGGTAATTATTCTAATGGATACGCTAAGCATTTCAAACTAATCTTGACCTGGGAGAAGAGCTGACCAGTGACAAGTCGGCCGCAAAGCGGCCGAAAAATATATAGCCTTTTTTTCTTCCCAAAATGGATTCCTAGTCATATTTAAAATTTATTCCACTGGGTAGACGGACGTGTCACCCCCCCCCCCCCCCCCCCCCCCCCCCATTATGGTTAATACTCTTTACGATGGAAGTTTATCAGCGATTGAAAATATCAAAAACTCCAAATTAAATACCTGACTCCAACTGCCGGGGGCAGCACACAAATCCACCGCTTTAGAGACACCCTCAAATATACTGAACTCTTCATTCACTTGTAGCAGTTTAAATGCAGAGCGTGCTCTCCATCCTTGCTCTTTGGCTAGTCTGTAATATATATCGCGCTTGTCTTTAGAACTTTTGCCCATGCTATGTAAGAGAGATCATATTATGTTGTAACAAACTTATGGACAGCACATTAGTCGTATTATTAAGGTATTCATGTGATGCCTAAAGAATTCATTTTAATACACGTCATGCACACGTCAAGTTCATGATGAACCCTGAAAAAACAATTTATGGAATTTAACTTGAATTTTTTATCGGATAGTCATCAAATCATTAGACTGTCACGTATGTAAGTCTGTAAGTCATCTGGATGTAAAAATCATTTATATTTTAATATTACAGTATTTTATCAAACAATAAAATATTATATATATTTTGTCCGTAACTAAAGTCACTTTACAGCCCAATAATTTCCTTTGTCCTTTTAAAAGCAACCCAAAAGGATCAGGACAACATATTAAACTCGAAACACCACATTCAAGTAACAATCATGAGATGTGCAGTTTAATGAAATTCTTTAAGACATGCACACGCTCAGGTTTACCATGTTCCTTTGTCTCAGAAAAACTTGGCAGATATCTTCAGTCAAATAAAAGTTATAAAGCAGCTACTGTCATTTTTTATCGATCTTCATTTGTGGTTTTTCCAACTAACTGTCGCTGAGAAACTGATCTGAATTATTGTCAACAAATGTGCGAAGGCGCACAAGAAGCTCTTTCTTGACCTCATCAGGAACACTTGCTCTGGCTTTAGGAGTGAGCTCCTCTATCAGTTCTTCAACATTTGCCTTCGATTTATCTCGTTTCAGACATTCTCTGCAGAGTTGTTTCATTTCATTCCTCCAGCCACATTCTATGAGTTTCACTTTCAATAAATCGAGCAGTTTCTCTTTCTCTCCAGATGCCATGAGAGATTGATTTAAAACACTCCGGATGTGCTTTTCTGACATTTCTGAGCCCATTTCTTTTAGCCCCTAGCATAAGAAATCTGGTTATTTCATTTGATGAAATCATCAAGAGTCAAAAAGTCATTAATATTGTAATCACTCCATAAATGACTTTTTGACTCTTAATCTTTGGATCAAAAAATTCAAGAAAATATGTATTGATACGAAGTGCAGTGTAGTGTGTACATGAAGAATACAAATCTGATACTTGCATCTACGTGCTAATCTTTATTTTCTACACTGATTTACAAATAAGTGTAGAAAATAAAGATTAGCGTGTAGAATTACCATATTTAAAAAAAGCAAGGATGGAAACCTCAATGCACCCTTTCTTTAAAATATAATATCAAAGAATAACAAAATGTATTGTTTTTAGGATGGTGTGTGACAGTAACGAGTCCACATGGCAGTGAAAGCATGACAGTAAAAGCAGACAAAGATCGCTGGATACAGTAAAACCCCGATTTACCGCACCCTAAGGATGGCACTTAACATTGACTGGAAAGAGCGGCAGACTAACGCCAAGGAGTATGGACACCTCTGAATCAGAGCATCTGATAAGATAGCTGCACGGAGGATGAGACTTGCAGGTCATTTAGCCAGACATGAAGAACTTCTGAGTCATCAACTTCTCTTCTGGGAACCCCTTCAAGGACATCGTTGAAGGGGAAGACCACACCTCACATGTATTGACATCCTTCGGAAGGACATGGGGCTTGACAACAGCAAGGAGATTAACAAACTCATGCTGGATAGACAGATTTGGAAAAAAACTATCTCTGTTTGGACGTTGAAGCCGCCCTAAGTCGAGTAAGTCGAAGTGATTCATCGCAAACCCCGATTTACCGCGGCCATCTCTGCCAATAGGGCTTAACATAGGACACTCAATTTTGGGAATTCTTGGAAACAACACTTCCCTGTCATCATAGACTGTTTCTGTTTGACCAGAAGCAGGTAGACATGGTGGTCTAGGTTTTATTGTTAACAATCGTTTTATGGACAGTGTTTTATCCCATCATCAGATCAGTGACAGAGTTGTTTACAATTTACATGGACGTTAAACTTAAGCCCAATCAGGTAAACAAACCACCTTGTTATATCAGAATTATTAATAGTTACAGACCTACTAATCCAAAATCAGTCCAGAACCCTCAACTAGCTGATCAATTTTATGATTGAGGCCATCAGTGTTCCTGAAGAAAATGGTTTACATAGGTAGGCATGGTGTTGGTAGAAGGAACGAGAATGAAGAGAGATTGTTACATTTCCTGGCAGCAAACGGCCTACTTGCTACCAATACTTCATTCTAAGATAAGAGACCAATCCACCAGAAAGAGTAAACCATATTTCTCACATATATAGATAGACTATGTCTATATATATACTTTTTACAAGTCCAGGAGCAAAGCACTGCTGACTGATGCAAACCTTTTCACCCTTTATTTGGTTGGCGCACTTTACCACCTTCGTGCCTCTATGTCTTATCTAAGACCCAACCCTCCTTTTTCTGAATAATAATAAGAATTCTATACATTACATAATTGAAACAATTATGGCCTGGCCCCTTATAGTGGGCAGAGTATGTGTCTTTGTTGAAGTGTCCTGGTATAAACTTATCTGAGTGACTGCATTAAAATAATTTAAGGAGAGTTATCATAAAACTTTAAGACGAAAGGGATAAATACTAGGACCTAATAAAATCAAAACAAAATGCAGCCACCTAATTTGTTGTTAAGCTTTCTCTTCTCCTTGATTGACTAGAGGAACCATCTTTGGCAAGTATTAGGAACTTAGACCATTGCAAATACCGTGCTGTAAGTTTGCAAGGCATGTGGACTAAGTGGGTCGAGAGCACTCGACTTGAAAGTGGGTGTTGAGAATCCACAACTATACTAAAATTAATGATGTTCAGAAGATGAGGCAGTAGAGTGAGTAGTAGAAGCTGAAGGGGAGAAAATGTCACAAGGAGATGAGCACTATAATAATCAACTTTATCCGTACGGCGCTATACGTAATATATGTTAAAAGCGCGCCGCAGCTACTCCCTACCTCAACATTTGCGCGGGTTTCTTAAGCGCGCACGTACGTTTATTCTTGGCCGTTAATCAGACCCATGACATAACGCTATAGGTGGCAGTGACTGTAATTTTCTTCAACAATTACTGAATTATCCATCCATAAAGTGATTTACAAAATGACACCTAAACCTCGTGTTTCGGTGTTCACCTAAACGGTACTTGGCGGCTGAACTGTGGTGTCTGACGTTTGCAGCTAGATCGGACTCTGCATGATATTGTATTAGCAAATTTGTATAGTGTATAATTGTTTAGTGTTTATAATACTCTGCAACCTGGTAGCACGGCTGACACAAAAACAAAATGTTGGCCTGGCTTGTGCACAACCAAGTAAATAACACGCACTCCGAAAAAAGCCGTCTGGAGAAACTCCGCAAAATGTTCATTGTAGTCAACGGGCACAAAGAAGCACTACTAGCAATTGTGTCCTTTACCCTCCTACATAATTTGAACATTTTTGTGGCTAACTCATTGAACAACATCTGAATTAAAATGTGTCTAGTATTAAAAGATTCAGTAAGTAATTTTTTCATGTACGCTGTACACTGTAGTTAGTAAATCAAATCAAACTTTTTCGATCAGCCGCGCGCTGAACCAGTGTTGCACTAGGTAAAAATTGTGTATATTTTGTTCATTTTTGAGTGTAAATTAATTTATTAATTTATCACAAATTGTTTTATTATAATATAACCACTTATGTGAAATGGTTATTTTGACTTTAAATATTTGAACTAAATATGAATTGATTGTGGGTATAAAATAAAATTTGTTTTACTAAAAATTTGTTTTACTATGATAGTTCACCAATGGCAATTTGTGCTAGAGAGCAGAAGGCAGTGATACTGTTATCACTATCATCTCTTAAGATAGACCAGCATGGTTGGTCATTAAAGGAATGCTCCTGCAGGGTTTCCCTGTAAGAGCAGCTGCACAGTGGACAGTAGAAGAGTCTGTGATAATTGGTGTCCAATAGTAAAACAAAAATTTTAGTAAAACAAAATTTAAATTTTATTGCCATATTACAATGAATAATAATATCATAATAAACATAGTTAAACTTAAACATCCGATAATAAACTCATGAATATTGGATATGCTATCGAAATGTAAAATAAGCTTTTTACTATATCAATGAAACAAGCAATTTTTCAATGAAACAAGAAATTTAATTTTTAGCACATTTTACAGAATAAAGAGATGTAAAACAATTTATAAAAATATAATGCTCATAGTATATAGTAGTGAACTACTCGAAGATTCGTCTCAATCATACATTTTTATCAGCGCAATTCAAAATTTAAATAAAAATTCAATACCTTACAATTTGGACACTGAGGGTCGCAGTTGTTGGCCACCCTTGCCTGGAAGGCTGCAAAGGTGATGTCATGGCCATGTAGGAGCGACATAACCTTGGTGTCTGTGCTTCTGCTTGAGTAGCGAGGAAAACCTGCTACTGGGAGTTTGGAGGACTTCACCGCTTCGACGCGCCGCGCGAACTAGCATTCTTGCTTCGCATCGAATGCTCTGCTTCGCAGAGCAACGATCTCGATGGGTTGACATCGTCAACCAACTGGGAGTACGCAGACGACACAGACTTCACGGATGAGGACAATAAGAATTTGGAGTCCATGTTACCAATATGCAAGGTATTGGAAGAGTGGAATATTTTTGTCAACGAATCAAAAACTGAGTTCATACATTTCTATCTGGCTGATAAGAACGAAGTTGATGACAAAGGAGAGCCACTTCGAGGAAGAGAGGCCTGGAGATCATCGATCTCACTTGGTACCAAATTGTGCAGCAATGAGGACATAAAAAGACGCTGTATTCTTATATCTGGCAAATCTTGCTTTCCAAAACTACAAGAAAGTTTGGGAACAGGGTAAATGCATACCTCTTAAGACCAAACTTAAGTTCTATGAAGCCCATGTGGTCTTAGCTTCATCTTAATGTAGCTGCTGGGCTGCTTCAAAGCAGCTATCGAATAAACTGGATATTTGCAGTAGAGAGTATTAAAAAGGGTAAAGTAGGCAGACACCCGTCGAACTTGGTCAGAACT